ATCCTATTTCTACGAAATCAATCCACCCCCAAGTCATACTGTATGTAGGTATTACACAACAATTACCAAAATGCAAAAAAAATGGCCAAAACAGCATCTGCAACTGGTCTACCCGGGTACCACGAACTGGTCTACCCGGGTAGGATGTACTCGGGTATATCATTACGAGTTACCCGGGTAGACCAGTTGCAGATGCAGCAGCAGGTGCTGTTCAATCCATTTTTTTTGCATCTTGGTAATTGATGTGTAATACAATAACCTTAACTGACTCAGGGAAGGGGTAAATGGGTATGGTAGACATTCGGATTGCACAATACGGAACGAGTGACTCGCTAAACTTAACGGATACATTTCAACAATACATTTCAACAACAAGAATACAGTTCAACAATACATTTCAACAACACAATACATAACTAATACAAGATAAAGTTTAGGGTACAAGGAAACAAAACAATACGTAAAGTGATTGTCATTACAAAACAAAGTACTACACAAAAACAATACGTAATCATGCTTGTCTTAGTCTCAATGGACATGTACGAATGTTATGTCCAACTTGCTTGCAATGCTTACATCTGCTCTGACTGCTAGAGGGTTGAGACTCAACCCAATCCATCTCATTCTGAATCCTTGAAGACTTTGGTCTTCCTTTTGCACGTACCAACTGAGCATCCGGAATTACAGTAGGCCCAACAACGGATGGAATCAACAATTCATTGCCAATAGGAAACCAGTGTGCAGCATATACTTTAGCAATGGTTGGAATTTTGAAAACATGATCCACATAATCATAATGGTTTAGCTTGGCTACCTTGCAAACTGCTAATACATGACTGCAGGGATACCTCCTTGCTGTAAACCTACCACACTGACATGTACGATTGATTAAGTCCACTCTCATGGTGTCACCGACCTCGTGTGTAGATTGATTGTAGGCATCCTCAACCTCAAACAATAACAACTCACTATCATATATCCTCACACGATAAGTGCCGGCCAATTCATCATTTTTTTGCAAAGCTGCCTCAACCTTCTTTGAAATTATCCAACCTTGTGAGATATCTTTTTCAATCCCTTCACGTCTCTTGACGAAATACTCAACGAGTCTACTGAATGTCATCTTGACCAATGCAGTTATAGGCAGATTTCGTGCTCCACGAAGCACCTTATTCACACACTCAGATAGGTTAGTTGTCATATGACCAAACCTACGTCCTGTCTCATCATACGACCTGCACCATTGCTCTTTCGGAATCGCATCCAACCATGAAGCAACTTCAGGATTGTTCTCGATAAATTCCTTGTATCTAATGTCGAAATTTATCTTTGAACATGTGTACCCTGCAAAAAACCATGACATATGCATTGGTTAGTGAATTTCATCAACGTTTTCTTCAAATGGTTGAAAATGTGAGTAATTATACCGTACATTACCTAATTTCATCAACGTTTTCTTCAATTCCACATTCCTAAAACGGGTATTGAAGTTGCTTCCGATGTGACGTAGACAAAATGCATGATAAGCATATGGAGGCTGCCACCCTCCGTGATCTTTCACCGCCTTTATGATGCTTCGATGACGATCGGATATTAGACAAATACCATGCCTATGTGTGACATGAAAACGTAAAAGGCTAAGAAACCAGGACCAATCATCCAACCTCTCACCTGGAGGAACAACAACAAAGTCAATAGGGATGGGCTCAGAAATTATTTAGAGTATGAAATGGCAAAGAAGGGTCACATGCTTTCACATACCCCAAAGCAAAATTATTTACTCACCTGGAGGAACAACAACAAAGGCAATAGGGAGCAGAAATCCATCTCCATCCTGAGATGTTGCAATCAATAGAGTACCTCTGTACTTCCCATACAGATGAGTGCCGTCAATTTGAATTATAGGCTTGCAGTGTTTGAATGCTTCAATGCATTGGTGAAATGTCCAAGAAAACCCTTTGAAATACGGCCCTGTCTGTATAAACTCGACGTTCATCAAAACATTGATTTGTATCAAGCTTGAACACAGAACCCACATTCACCTCCATCATATACTTCAGCCAATTTGGCAAGAATCCGTACGATTTCTCCCAGTCACCAAACAACTTAACGATGGCCTTCATTTTTGCCTTCCAGGCCTTCCTGTACGTTATGTTGTATCCATATGTTCCCTGTATCCTCTCCTGTATCAGAGCTGGTCTTGTGGATGGATCTTCCTTTAACATATCTGGAAAAAAAATTAACTTTACCATATTCTCAATTAATCTGAATCATTAAATACACAGTAGAATACATACTCATTATAGCCGCACAAATGACATTTGAATCCAACTGTCTATGATCCTGTGCTAGTCCTTGATTTAAGCATGTGTGACCTTGACCCCATTTACGGACCACCAATTAGCTCCCTTCTTCGACTTAATTGCCCTCATATACCAGGGACAACCGTCAGCATGGTTTTTACACTTCATAACAAATCTTGACTCGTCGCTTTTTTCAACTATGGCTGTCCTGCGCCCCTTCATACAATGTATCTTCACAACATGTTGCAATTCTGGTTTGGACCCAAATTCTTGTTGCACAAATAACGGATCTCCTAACTTCCAACCTCCGTGCAAGTCATCATCGCCATATAGGATCTCCAACTCGTCATTAGGGTGCGCCCAGTTAATGAATGAATAATTTTGGCTTTCATTCCAGAATGGCTCCTCAGACCCTGCATCTAAAGATCAACTCTCATTTGTCTGAATGAATACCACCACAAATAATAAATTGTCTAAAGCAAATGTTCAAATTTAATAACTTACCACTACTGACTGGGTCGACATGAAGTGGTGACAAGGCTGGGGTACCGAGACTTACGGCGCTCATGTCAGCCTCAAAATTACCGTCCACGTCAGTGTCTGACGAATCACCTTCTGGAATAGCACTTTCAGGTTCTCCCTCATCTTCGCTGTCCACATAGTCCTCGTCTTCATCCTCTTCATCCTCATCCAATGCTACCTGAGGAGGTGCAGAAGATCGTACAACTGTATCTTCTTGACCGGTACAGTGTGCAGTAGTGGTTGTATGCACCGGTAAAGATGAAGATTGTCCAACATCAACTTCAACATATATCTCAATATATTTTAATACTTTCCATTCAACAAACGCATCTGTTACGAACTCCACATCTTCATCATCATTTATATCGTTTCCAATGTAGTATATTGTATCCATATCCACTACAGTCTCTAACCTGGCTATCATGCGGTGGATGGAATGTATGCCTTCTGACCCCATTTTTTGAAGAATTCTCTCATTGCATGTAGTGCCCACTTTGATTTTCATCGTTTTTGTTTTTCCTTCAAATCGGACACCGTTCGGACCTTCAAAATGCCTCCCATTGTAGTAAATAACTATAGGAACCATGTTTGGACTTGAACTCATCTTTCACACAAAAATTAGATCTAGGTTTTGGGTTTGGAGGTTGGTTCGGATTTTTGAGCACAAAATGGGAGTGTGGAGATGTAATCTCAATGTCCCACCAAGATTCAGCTTTCTGAAATGATGAGATGAAATATGTGTGATGTTTCGGATTAGAGAGGGTAAGAGAGAGAGATTTGGGGTTTCAAAAACCCTATACCTCGCAACAATGGCCGAAACCCATACATATTGGGGTTTCTGGACACGATTTACCCGGGTACACTGATCCATACCCGGGTAAATAATTCAACCATTTTCCCAGATTCAAGAACTCTACCCGGATACACTCCTACATACTCGGGTAGATAAAAAATTTTCAAAAATTACCCGGGTAGGTAATGGTGTACCCGGGTAGGCTTCGTGGTCAACGGTCAAACAGGGGCAGATTGGTGTTATGTTTGTTGGGGAGGGTAAATTTTCGAAATAGTTTTGAATGAAGGGCAATTTGATAATTAATTATTAATTAAGAGTCATAAGGGTCAAAAAGCCAAGAAAAAAAGATAGTATCTCTCAAAGAGATAATAGTAATTTAGTTTTGATGTACTGTCAATATTGGTATTTTTTTTAACTATCACTCAATTATAAATTGTCAGGCCATTAAAAAAATTGGTTAAAATAAGTTATTTTTTTTTTTTTTGGAAATAGTTAAAATAAATTATTGATCCTTATAACTTTCACTCATTTATATTTTGGTTCCTTTTTTTTTTTCTTTGCAAATCAATCCCATAGTTACGATTTCGCCCCATCACGAATCTATTACTATGGGGATTGAGTTAAAATACAAAAAAAGAGGAAATAAATTAAAATTGAAAGTGGGACTGAATCAAAAAGAAAAAATTCCCTATGTCACAACCCATGCTGTAAGACAGATAATTTTGCACAGATTTGTAAATTTGTAACTATAGAGATTGATTTGCATATAAAAAAGTACATGGGTCAAAATGCGAAAAGAGAAAACTATACAGATAAATCATTTTAATTATAACAATTTTTTAAAGTTACTATTTTAGTAATGTATAATTGAATAAAGTATAAAAAGACTTTATACCAATAACATATCAAAATTACACTGAAATGTTAAATATTGATTAATAACTTTTTTCATTTTAAATTTATAATCATACTCTTTTTTACGAGAAAATTTTAACGGTACATAACAGTTAATAAAGCATAAAAAATGATAGTTAATAAAAATATGCAATTCAAACAAATTAAAAGATACAACTAAAATCTTTATCACTATTATTATTATTTTACTAGATTTTTCTAAGTTATGTTATAGATGAGGTGTATCACTAAAATATATTACCTAAGAGATCCCTAAAGAAGGTTTACCAACATCCCTAACTGTGATGCCATGGCTTCCTTCGATTTCATATGAAGATTAAGGGAAACAATTTCCATTGGGACATCAAACAAAAAGATACATCTAGTTACCACTAAGTTACCAAATCAACACCACTCAAAACATAATACAGAAAAAAAAAAAGTCAGCCACAACAAGAACCAAAACTTTACAAGGTTCTCTCGTTTTTTCACTGTGTTTTGATGTGATCGAGGCTCTCGGACACGGTTTTCATTCTAGGTCGCAATTCCGGATCAAGTTCAGTGCAGTTAAGAGCAACATGAAAAGCAGCAATAACTTGTTTTTTAGCATAAACCTCAGGCAGAAGTGCAGGGTCTATAATATCAGACAAGGGCTGTTCCTCCTTGAATGCTTTCCTCACAAAACTCTCTAACACCTTATCATCATTTTCTGTTCCAAAATCAGGTACCCTACCCGTCAAAAGTTCTAAAAGCACAACACCAAAAGAATACACATCACATTTCTGAGTTAACTTGCCACCACCCATGCGCACCTCAGGTGCCAAGTAGCAGTTAGAGAAAGCTTCAACCTTTAAACCCTTTGCAGAGGTTACATTAGATTGGTTTGAACTGTGCCGTTTTGGTGCCAATGTGGTAGACCTTGAGGTACCCAAACAAAGACGAGTTATTCCAAAACCTGACACATAAGGACTGAAATCATCATCAAGTAAGATCTTTGTTGATTTTAGGTTGCCATGGATATATTTGCGTCCACTGAACTCGTGTATGTACATCAAGCCCCTGGCTGTTTCTTGAGCAATTTTTAACCTCGTTGCCCAAGACAATTGTGGCAATGAATTGGAAGACCCACCTGCAGCCATAAAACACCAAATAAAGAGCAGAAAATGCTTGAAACAGTCCTTATATGCATTGGGACCATGGGATTTTCCATCACTCAAATGTGGTCGTAACTAAAATATACAATGCAGTTGAAATTTTTGTGGGTATCACTATCGGCACATAGGGACCACGCAAAATCCTTTGGATGAATTCGATTGAATGCCCACTAGAAATGCTAAAACGAGGGTAAGCTTATAGAGGACATTAACTAAGGTACCAAAGGTAGACCATCTTAAAGTTATATCTCTGTGATCACGGACAAGACATAAAAAAAGCGGGTTCTGTTCTCAATTGCAGAGGCACAATTCACTAATGGACAGGATGGTCGATGGTCCCCCCAAAATATGCAGTGCAAATACAAACACATCCAAAAAGATAAGAAAAGTAAAACCCACATGCGAAAGTAGCAATAGGTAAAAGTTTTATCCATTAGGTCCTGCATAAGTATCAGTACAATCATGGTGGTGACAATCACATGGTGACATTATTGGCTCTTAATAGTAAAAAGTAAAAACTAGAATTTGAACTAATCACATGACGACAATAATGAAGATTTAAACATGAGTCTTATGCCACTACACTGGGCAGAAAATTTAAACAAGCAAATGGAGATGACAAATGACAAGTCCCATTTTCAAGAACATCAAAATCTAGAAAAGAAATGCAATAAAATATACGTGACTTGGCAATTGGCATAATAAAGCATAACATAACATTAAGCAGTTTAAATTGATACCATGTAACGCAGTGTGCAAGCTTCCATTGCGGATGAAATCAGTGATAAGCAGTTTCTCATCATGTGCATAGTAGTAAGCTCTCAAGGGGACAACATTGGGGTGACGAACCCTCGCAATGGCTTCCACCTCAGATTCGAACTCCTTGAACCGCCACGTGGCATCACCCTCGCTGAGCCGGCGAACGGCCACCACCGTCGCCGCCGCGGACGACCCTTTCCCAACACCGACCACCTTGTACACGATCCCACTCCTGCTCTTCCCAACAACATACGCAGATGCTCTCAGCAAATCCTCCAACTCCAAGCTAAACCCTTCATCAAACACAACGAATTTACCCTGTTGCCCTTCCCCTTCTCCTCCAACTCCATCAACCTCGTTCTCAAATTTCCGATTCCCCAATTTGCCCTCCTCGCCGTTCCACCTTCGCCGGAAAAACCAAAGGGTAAGCGAAACGGCCGCAACCACCAGGGAGAGCCCGGAGATAACGAGAACCGCGACGGAGCCGCCACCGCGCTGTTTTTCCTTCTCTTGGTTACCACCACCACCACCGAGGTGAAGGGCTTTGGGGTTCTGAGGCTCTTCTTCTGTGCTTGTGAAAACACCAGGCTTTTGAGCTTCAGGGCACGCGTTCTGCAATGGAAACCCACAGAGGCCAGGGTTTCCAGAGAACGCGGTGGGACCCTGGTTCAGAATGGACCCCACCTGAGGGATTTTTCCGGTGAGGTTGTTGTTACGTAGGTCAAGACTCACGATCACTGGGAGGTTCCCGAGAGACGCCGGAATCCCGCCGGAGAAGCGGTTGTAAGAGAGGTTGAGTGTTCCGACGAGGCCGGCGAGATCGGAAAGCGCTTCGGGGAGCGTGCCGTCAAGGAAATTTGAGGACAAATCCAAGTGGCGGAGCGATTTGAGGGAGCGAAGTTCCGTTGGGATGGGGCCGGAGAGTGAGTTGTGTGAGAGGTCGAGGACAATGAGTGTGGTAGCGTTGAAGAGACGTGAAGGAATGACGTTGGTGAAGTTGTTGTATGAAAGGCTTAGTCTTTTCAGTGATGTAAGAAAACCCAGTTCGGATGGGATATAACCGGTGAGGCCTTTGTTTCGGAGTGTTAATTGGGTGACTCTGTCGCCGGTGCAGGCCACGCCGGACCACCGGCATGGGGTGGAGTCGGCGTCGGACCATGAGGTGAAGACGCCGCTTGGGTCGTCTTCCACGGCGGCTTTGAGGGCTAGCAAGGAGAGTCCGTCGGAGTTGAGAGTGGTGGTGGTGATGGAAGGAGCAAAGAAAGAGAGTACTACTAGCAAGACAATGTGAAGAGGAAGAAGATTAAGAAGCATTGTTTGTTGCGTTGTTTTAGGAGTTGGGGGAACACCACCAACAACCAACCAAACAACGTTAGTAGTGTATTTGGTTTTGTGCCTAATCTAAATTTTGTTGCTATGTTTGGCAACAAGGTGTTGCGCAGAATGCTTGCAAGTTGGAAGAGAAGCACAGAGAAGAAGGTTGTGCTGTAATGTAATGTAATGTAACTGCTGTTTTTTCAAATTGGTTTACTTCTCGAGGTGCCGTGGCTCTACTCTACAGTTTAGTTTGAATTTCTCTGACAATGCTTCTTCATTATAATACTAAACAATTCATATATTGTATACCTATTTTTTTATTTATTATCTTATTGTATTTAAATTAATAGTGATAAACAATATTATTATAGTTGAAATCAAAGGCGATAAAAAATAATAAAAGTAAAACAACTAAATAAATAGGTAATATAACCATCCTCGCGTAATAACGAATTTTTTTGAAAATGACAATTAAATTTGGATTCTATATAAATCATTAAACTTAAAAACTTTTTTTAGTGCAATTATTTATCATTTTTATATGTATGCAATACAATTACCTTGATTATAATTATATAATTACGATTAGTTAAATAATCAGATTGTTCATTTTTTGATTGTAAATTAAATAAAAATATGGATCAATATTTCTCATATTATAAGAATAATTTATTTTTTATATATACAAAAATTATGAGATTCATATATTTTTTTTTATATGACTATGCATTAACTACATTTATTTTTATGTGTATATACAAAGTAAAATTATTTCTTACAAAATTATTTATAAAAATATAGTAGAAAATGGCTGACTAGTCCGCACTTGAATTCACACAGTGCACTGTGTTTGTAATTTAGTGTTTTTTTTTGTTTTCTGCCCTTTTCTGGTGCCAGAAAATCATTTAACAAGGACAGCATGCTTGTGAGTCTCTTTCCACTTTTCAGAATCCACCAAAAAATATGTTACGCTGCTATCTAGATCCAGCAAATCCTTTTAGATTCAAATTCGTATGAAATTATGTTTTATTATTTATTTTTTAATCACGTGCCTTCAAATGAATTTAATTAAGCTCAAATCTAATATTAGTTTTTCGTCGTTATGTCAATATAAAATGTTCAAATCGAGAAGACGAGTTGAACATGTCCCATTAATAATTGAGTAAATATCATTTTGATCCAAGCAAATTTTACGGTTTTCGCTTTAATTTTTAGTAAATAAAAAAGTTATTTGTGGTTCTTACAAAATTCAAAATAAACTCATTTAGTTGAAATCATGATCCCTCAAAAATTCAAAAAAAAATCCATATTAATTTCTCAAAAAGATTAAAATGAGTTCATTTTAAATTTCTTAGGGACCACAAATATCTATTTTATTTGCTATGGACTAAAATAGGATCGTAAAGTTTGCTGATGACCGAAAATGGTATTTACTCTTAATAATTTATGCTAGAATAAGATTAATTTGTGGTATCCCTGCCTAATTCTTTTTATTTACTGATCATTAATTGAATTCAGCTGTAGAATGAAAAATACACAACTTTTGGTTAGTCATCAATATTGAAATTGAGTATTATCAATATTTACTTTGCAAATGGGGGGAGGGGGGAATCTACCTTCTTTTAGATTCTCCTAAATATAAATGTATTTATTCTAGCTCAATGCTATTTCGGATGTATGCCCTTTCAAATCACAGCGTATTTGGACTTATATTAAATGAGATATTCAATGACAACCCAACATAAGACTAGAGCTAGCAAAACGAACTCGTCTCGGCTGGTTAATCTGTCCCACCAGTTAAATGGAGTGAGGCGGATTGAGTTTTTCAACTCATCTCAAAAATAGGGCGGACTCATTTTTTGGCGGGTTGATGACGGGTATAGGCAGGTCGAGACGAGTCAGTGTAAAATAGGCTCAGGCTGACGAGCCAACCCGCCCAGCCCACCAAACGGGGCGGAGCAAATTTTTCAATCCACTTTCAAAAGCGGGGCAGGGCGAACTAACTCATTTTTGGGTGAGTTGATGGCGGGACAGAGACTTTGCCACCTCTACATAAGACCATATAAAAATTTGAGGGAAAAATTCGAAAATCCTCATATGTTTTATCCTTTTATGTCTTATGTTTTATGTTTTTATCTTGGATTTTATAATTCTTATTTAACATAAGAATTACAATTTTTCTACACACCCTTTGATTTTCGTGCTGACATAGGTCCTACATATAATTTTTTCTAACACATGGGTCCCACATGTTTTTTTATCTCTACAACATGAGATTTAATTCTCCTTCAACATGAGAATTATAAAACCCTTTTATCTTATTACTTACCTCTCTTATGGTTTTTTTCTATTTAAATTCATCTTTAACATCATTAAAATTTGAATTAAGTTGCCCAATTTATCCCTATCTTGCCAACATTAAAAAAATACTAATCTATCATAAAACTTTCTGAAGAAATTTTCTCCTTTGTATAACTTCCATAAGAATTAGATCTTTCAAGCCAAAAAGACTTAAGGGGGTGTTTGATTGAGGAGAAATTTTAAGAATAATAGGGAATGTTATTGATAGGGAAATGGGGGGAAGTGAGTTTGGTAGGAAAATGTAAAAAAAATTTGTTTAGTTGTAAAAAAAATTACCGGAAAAATTATGTAACATTTATAAAATCTATGTTTGGTTGTAGGTAAAATATAGATGGGAAAAAAATTGATTTTACAAAAATAACCATGTTTTAAAATTGAAATGCTTCCATCAACATGAACATCTCCTCTTTTCTCTGTGCAAGACTTTGTTCGTACGAAAGTGACAACATACAACTCACCAAATAGATGCCTCACCTTTTTCACTTTTGCTCTGTGCTCATGAAGGGCACGCTCGTCAATTGGTGAAACCACTTACATTGATAACTTGGAATACCACCTCTGATTTGGGGAAAAAATGCAGACTATTTCCATGAAAAACATATGCAAATGGGTTAGATGGAAATCCCACTTAAGTAGATAAATATCAGAAACCGCTCAACCAAACAACGTCAACATGCAATTCCACTTCTCTATTTTTTCTATCTATCTCTCCAAAATCCTCCAACCAAACACCCCTAAAAGAATAGTAAGGGAGGAGGGGGGACACTTACCACTACTTTTATTGTTAGTGATAATTATATTTATTTGGAAAATCACATTGGAAGCTTTTCCCCCTGAATTTTATACTCGAGTTTCACAAGCATTAGGTCTTCTTGATCAATCTATCGCTTTAAACGTTTTATAACAATAAATACATTGGTGAATAGATGTGCTGGTTCTAATTTGACTATTTAGCATGTGAGAATCTTAAACACGACTAACGTAAAAATATTCTCATTAAATTATTATTTTTTGGTAAACTCTCATTAAAATGATTTAACCTGTGTCATATTAGCCATGTAAGTTATCTTTTAGGGGGCGTTTGGTAGAAGAAAAAAAAAATTAATGGAATTTTTTTTTTCCACTAATATGGTGGGAACTATTTTTTGTCGGGTAAGTCACGAAAATGTGTTTAGTAGACCAAAATTTTAACGAAAAAGTTGTGTGAATTTTACTGATATTATGTTTGGATGAATATAAAATATTGATGAGAAAATAAATAAAATGAACAAATTACCTCGAGTTTCAAAAATTTAAACTGTTTGTCATAAAGATGTTATTTCACCTGTCTTCCTTCTCTCTCTGTCTCTCCATGTTCGTTTCTTTCTATGCATAATGCTTCATCGTTTCTTTCCATCTAACTTAGTTTTCTTTTTAATTTCTGGCACCTTTAAATTAAATAGGCTACTTAAAGTAGTTTAAAGCTCTCTCTGTCTTTATTTTTTACATGGCACTGGCAGTTAATTCCCCTTGCTTTGCAGATTAAGCATATTTTAATTGAGGGGCGAACTTCCCATTTTTTTAACAAAAATTTATAGGTGGTTTTTGGGATACACCTGCTGTGATGCTTGTGGAAGATTGTTTGTGAAAGGGAACTACTGTCCTATTTGCTTGAAGGTGCCAGTCTTTTCTCTTGATCTCACACTGTGAAGACGAAGACGACGATGAGCAAAAATGGTGTTTCAGTCTACAAGTTGTGGTTCACGCCACTTTTATTTTGTTCACACCACTCATAAGCGCATGGGTATTTTTGTCTCACAAAATTGGGTTGATGTTCCCACTGAGTCGATAATTTTTTTTACCACACTTTCTATGGCAAAATTTGGTTCACAAATCATGTGTAAAACATAAAACCAGCAAAAAAAATTTCCTCACCCTTTTCTGGTTTCCAGCCTACCAAACATGTCCAACTTACCTCACCTCACTCTCCTGGGAAATTTTTTTTTTCCCTCCTACCAAACACCCCCTTAGTGGTGGGATATAGCTTTAATGAAGAATTTTTGTTAGGCGGAGAATAGATGGAGTAATGATTAATAAAAGCTCATCGAAAAAATCTTGATTTTAAGCATTTGTGAAAATTAAACAATGGAAAATAATGGTAACAACAATAATAACATAAAAATGAGAGTTATATTTACAAAATTTTTATTTACAAACTCAACTATGTATTTCGAATAATACACGTTTAGGTGTTTTTATTCCCTGAATTACATAATTGAGTTTGTAAACAACAAATTTGAAAACACAACCTTTCCCATAACATAAACAAAGAGCAATGAAAGCATTTCTGAAAAAGCATCCAGATTTTATATTTATGATAGATTGGTGCTTTTGGTGTATGCAAAAAAAGCTTAAAATTGGCAAGTTAGTTCAATTTCTAATGATGGTAAATGTGGCTTTTGATGAAAAAAATCGTAGGGAAGGTAAGTAATAAGAAACAAACCACTGGAGCACCACTTTTGGAGTTGCTTGTTGGCTAATCTGGAAAGATCGAAATAATGTTGTGTTTAACAATCACATAATGGACCCGAGTTCTGTGGCTAGGAGTATCTCTAACTTTGTTTTGAATATAATTGTGGCTGATAACACTCTTAATACAGCTAGTTTACATCTTCACCCGATACAGGAAAGCTTGATCAAATGGTGTTTCCCTCCCATTCACTGGGTCAAGGTAAACACTGATGGTTCATGTCGTGGCTCGAATAATAAGATGGGTTATGGGGAAGTCATTCGCGATAGTAATGATACTTGGATTGTGGGCTTCTCGAAGAATCTAGGGTATGGTAATGTCTTACTTGCTGAGTTATAGGGCATTTTTGTTGGCATGGAAATTGCTTGGTCGAAAGGGTTTGGGAGAGTCCACCTTGAGGAGACTCTGCGCAGTGGCATTTAAATTATATGTGTATTTATTTTTCTTAATTTTAATTAGTTCATATCATAATATATTTAAATTATATTAATTACAAAACACTTGAGCAGACAGTATCAAAAAGATTTATAATTTTATTAAATAATTTTTAATTTTATTAAATATATTTAAATTTTTTTATATAAGTGAAAATGGAACATATAACTTAATACAACTTACCCAAATCTCTCACCAAATATATTTTATTTTTTTGATAGGGCCAAATTATACATTTTAGCCCGGGCCAAATTACAATTTTAAATCGGGCCAAATTATAATTAATTATATAATTATACATGATAAATATAATTTGTTAAAATTTAGCCCGAGCCGAGGTCAACCCAGCCAACATGTGGCTCCGTCACTGACTCTGCCTCAGCTTCAAACCTGATCTCCTTTGGTTGCAGCCCTCACCATCCCTAATCTAACATGGTGAGCAAAATCTTGGGTCTCTTTAGTCAGTCCTGGCAAGGGGTCATCAAGCACACCCTTAGGGAGGGAAATGCAGTTGCGGACTGGTTAGCGAGTTATTCTCCTCATCTAGATTGGGAAACTCATCTCTTTTGTAATCCTCCCCAGGAGTGTAGCAACCTTGTTTTGTAGGACCTCATGGGGTTTTCTTTCCGAGGATGGTCGTAGGCTTGTTTTCTATTTTTTCTTTTCTTTGCTTTCCTTTTATCTCTAAAAAAAAAAAAAAACAAATAAACCATAAAGAAGTAAGTGATAAAAGAGAAAACTATGTGAGATTTTAAATTTTTTCCACAACTTAATTTATAAGGAAACACATTAATAACACATATACATAATCCTGCAAGTAAACAATTAAGTTTCCAACATACACGAGATTTCAATCAAGTCTAAATATCATAGTTCTCCAAAAGGCATTTTGTAGGAGATGTAGACCGATAAAGCCACCTGAGTTAGCCAATATGAGACATGTCCTTAAACTAAGGAGACATAGTAAGTCAATAAATAGACAATATCACTACTATAAATGAGAGCCTCAAAGATCAGATATGATCTTCTTCTTTCAATATACTTAAATTCATTAATCATATATTAACTTGAACATCAAAGTATCTTAAAGGTATCCACCACACCTGTTCCAGCCAAATTACACGGCAACAACGTTTGAGATTTCAAAGTGGTGATATTATCCCACACCATAAAGTTAGAGATCTCGTCACTTTAATCATCAAACTACTCATTTAAACTAGGTTAAATCGTGTATAACCAAACTTAATTTCTTGTGAACTGATCAGCAGCTATGCAAACTTCATTGAGCAATGTGTCATTTACAAATTTACATCGTCACTGATAGAAATGGAGAAAAGTGCTTATAATTTTAAATGATATAATTTTATGTCATTTTTAATGAAATCACGTCATTTTGATGTGTTTTTGTATTCTCTTTCATTCACTTTCTTTTTTTACTAATTTTATAAAAAAGAAAAAATATTAAAACACATTAAAATAACATAATTTCATTAAAAATGATATAAAATTATATTATTTAAAATGACAAACACTTGACCTAATAAACACATAAAAATAAAGTACTGTTTTTATTAATTCACGTCACTTCTTTCAAAATGCTTACAAATTCGACGGCTTTAGCTTTTTTGATACTGTTGTAACAAATTTATATCAAATCTTTTTGCGGATGCTTCATTATTTATAATTTCAAAAAACAATAATTCAAAATTAAATAAATAACTAACTTAAAAATATTGTTCTGCCACTAATTTTTAGTAAAAGTTAGGAGGGGTACAGTGAATTGAGATTTGGTACCAAAAGAATCGCGTTCACCGTAATAGAATGAGGTTGTAGGGTAACACAGAGTTATTTGGCAAATTTTTTTGTTATACTAGAACTAATTTTTTTACCTTTTTAATAAGTAAAATTAATTTAAAGTGTAAGGACTATAAATTTTTTAAAATTATATTCTTTTTTTTAAGGGATACGAATACGATCAACTTAATCCGGTGTAAAAATAATAAGTCTTACACAAATTCTTAATCGCTTATGATTTTATTAAGTCTCACTCATTAATTAATTATTAATTTTTAATAAATTATAGCTGTCATATGCATATAAATCAACGGTTAAAATTTATTATAATTTTTTTCTGTAATCGGTGTAAAATTTATTATTCTTATACTGATATAAGTTGATCCACCCCTTTTTATATAAAATTTAAAAATAATCTTACTCTAACATTTAAATAAAATTTTTTAACAATAACTTCTTAAAAATCAATTATATTAAAATCTAAAACTAACAAACTTTAAAAGTAGACAAAAGTTGTCTATCAAAAAAAAAAAAAAAAAAGTAGACAAAAGTTTACAAGAAAAAAATACAAGGAAAAATATAGAATTTTGTGCTATTTTAAGTAATACTATTGTATTTTGGTGGTTTTTTATATTCTCACCTCCATTATACTCTCTTTTTTTCTTAATTTTGTGGTGTAGAAAGAATATAAAAAATCATCATTAATGTACAAAAAAAATTGTTATTTTATTTAAGATGATACAAAATTGTATGCTTTAAAATAACAAATGTTTCTCCGAAAATATAATTTAGATTTAGAAAAAAAATATAAAGAGAAAATAAACTGTTTTTTGTTTTTATGAGACAAAATTGATTTATTTATTTTTTTATTTGAGAAGAATTAAAACAGTGAATGAACTCTACCACAAAAAAAAAAAAAAAAAATGAAATTTAAATTAATGAGGTAATTCCTACGCAGCACCCTATAAATTATGAACACCTCTCGAGTCTTCAGCAACTCACCCGCGTCCAAAGTCAAAATAACTCTGTGATTTTCAACTCTCGCAAATTTTCCTAGTTTCGGATCTCGGGTTCACCACGTCACTCTCTTCCTCCAATCAATTTATTGTGCCTATTTCTGTGTCTCATCTAATATGGATTGGAATTTGTTCTTTTGGCTTTTGATTTGTTTCCCTCTCAACGTTGCCTTTTTGATTTCTACTTTCTACCAGGTATTTGATTTGACTTTTCTTTTTTTCTTTCTCTGCCAAAGTTATTTATTTATTTCAATGTGATTGAAGAGAAATAGAGGGTTCACGTTCTTACTGATTTTTAGCTTCAGTGAATCTAAAAATCCCTTTTTTTTTTTTTTTAATTTTTTATTTGGTTGAAGGTTTTGATCTTATCTGACTTAGAAGCTGACTTTATCAACCCATATGATGCTTCATCTCGGATGAATTACTTCGTTGTTCCTGAGTTTATTGGGCAAGGATTATTCTGTGCTCTTTGCCTCTTCACGGGTCATTGGGTCATGTTTTTTATAACAGTTCCTCTTACTTGCTATCATGTAATGCTGTAAGTACATATTTTTACTACAACAAAGTGAACAATGTGCTGCCCAAATTATATTAAGTCCATTCTTTGATGATGTTTTTTTTTTTCCTACAGATTCTGCTTTCCCCTGCCCTATAATTTGTGCTAAAGTTAAGGTTTTTTTTTTCCTTCTTTGGGGCGGGGGGGAATGCTAAAGTGTAGGTAACTCACTCTTAGAAAATAATATAAACCATTATAAAAAGCCATCACCCAACACTTTAAGGTTTTGGGTTGAAGAAAGGCCCTCACCTAACATCTTAAGTTTTTGGGTTGGAGTGATTTTTTACACGCACCTCATAGAGATTCAAGTATGTCCCACTAGGATCTTGGTGCGAATTGAGCCAAGGCTCCTAGTTTGGTAATGTCAACATTTGACTTCTAAAATAGTTAACTTGAATCCAACAAGCTTTTAGGAATTTTAGTTCTTTTCAAAAAAAAAGTTTCCCAACAAAGATTTCAAGCGTGGTTCTACTTTGTTTTGTGCATAAAGCGAGGTAAGAACATAGTATAGGATAACAGTTGAAGGCTTGAATCTTAGATGCATCCTTTTAGATAATAAGTAGTTGATTCAAGAAATTCTGTCTCCCTGCATGGAGTACTCTCCATTTGTTTATCTGTTTATTCATAATTTATTGAAAGTTATCTGTAACGATTTTTCATTTGAGATTGTAGCCCAATCCAACTTCATTTTCCAGCATTGCCATATAATTTATATTAAAGCTACTGCAAAATTTTTGAAGTATAGCAGCTATTTGTGCTGTTGATTATCAATTTTATTTCAGCATGGAGATTTAGAACAGAATGAATACATGGAATAATGGTTTTATACTGCCCTGGTGTCAGCAATCCGCTTTAATTTCTTTTATCCTCTCTTATTGCCATCAGAATCTGGATATTTTGGTTGAAACTGCATTCTCTCGGACAATATGTTTTCTTTTTTCTTCTTTTAATCTTTCGGATTATTCATGCAGACAAGTTAGATGAAATTGTATAAACTCTGTTTAGCTACATGCCTACATTGAGGTTTATTCTTCAATTATTTGGCATTACTAATTTGCAATTTTCAGCTTTTAGTTTGCAATATCTAGCATATTGGTGGTGCCAATGAAATGAATTTATGTTGCATGCAATGTGCCTAAGCTAGTTTCATGTTTGACAGTTTCTGACTTGTGTCATGTATCTATAATTACCGTGGAATATATTTTGGGGCGATATAAATATTGGCAATAAATTGCGATGATGAGAAATAGAGTTAATATAATTAACTACTGAGCTCATACTTTGTAGTTTGTTCGGTACTTCCATATTGGGTTTACCTTATGAACTTGTTACGTTTTCTATTCAGTTAATTATTGTTCAATTTCAATGATTCAGGTATGTGAAACGGAAGCATCTTATTGATGTTACTGAAGTGTTTAGGGTACTTAATGCTGAGAAGAAATTTCGGTTAGCCAAACTTGCTTTTTACATACTGGTGCTCCTTATAATTGTCTTCAGGTTTGTCATGTCCTTAAAATAGCATATGCTTATCTACTGTTTTTGAGTTTTACATTCATACTGCTTAACTTTATGTCTATTTCTTTTTCTAATTAAGGCGAAACATTAGGATTCATGCTCCAGGAAGCATATTATTTTACAATTCTAAATTTGAGGAATTAGATATTTGGGCCACTATTCTAGGATTTTATTAAAAAATTTGTAAGAATAAGTTTTTCTTTATAGTATTTAGTAAAAGTGTAAAACTACTTTTGGGTGTAAAATCACTGATACATTAGAAATTAAATCATTTTGTTTGGGGTAAATATTTAATGTTTATAAATTAAGAGAAATTGTAAAACTTTACCGAAATGCATTCTTGGTGAAAGTATTAAAATTTAACGTATGCCCAAAATGCACTACTGTATTAGTCACTTGTTTTTTAGTCAGTACAGTTTAATTAAGTCATATTTCGAGGAGGGATTCAACTTAGTGTAGGTCCCATGAAAGAACAGTAACTGCTTGAAGTAATTGTATTAATGTTTGACTATGGAGTAATTCATTTTGCTTTTTGGGTTACTCTATAAAGACTCAGGACATCTCCCACCTTGACCATCCTACTTTCTATCTATATCTTGACATCCACTTCATAGTGATTAGAGAGGTGACTGGCCAAGACCTTACATTGATTGTTTAACTATTGTCGGGTTTAAGTTTCATACTTGATTTGGGGACTTAAATTTTTTGTTCATATACTGAGTTTAATCTTTGTGATGTCATGTAATCTGCCCCATATCTACAAACCTTTAAAACCCTCTAAGTAGATACATTACTGGGACAAATAGGGTGTACTGAATTTGTCTTTATTATGAAGTTAAAAAGAGGATTTATTATGGTTATTTGTGATTTCGAAAACTATGTTCATTATGTCAACCTTCACAAATTTTTCTCCATACTTGTCATCATGAGGATGAGTTGCAGATGATGCTTAATGGGGATGGATTCTTGAACAGATTCCTTGTATATGCCTGCCAAATCTTACCAATAGTCTGTGTCTTATGATTGTAGGTAGTCTAGGCTGCATAGGCACACCTTGGAGGGTACAATTGATTGCGTCAGACACAATGGGGAACTATATGTTTTGGTTCTCTAAACACATGCACTTATATATAGTATAAAATGAGAACCTTGAATTTTCTTTAATCAAATTCTACAAACATGCCCAATCTGTATTAATAGTGTTGAAAATGGATTTTTAGTTGCAAGTGTGGTAAATTGCTAATATTATGATGGAAAGGCAAGACAGCATTTTGAAATGAAATGATCAAAATAAGGAAAGTTCTATTTTCTATTTGCTTGCAAGTGTGCCCTACTTCTACAAAGTAAATTTTAGGATTTCCTTAACACCAAAAAAAACAAAAACAAAAAATAGAAGTTTTTGCCATATTCAACTATTTGCTGCATATATCATTAGCTGACTTGAACTCAAGGATATTTGCTGCCATAATAATTTCTTTCATGGTCAAATATTCTCTTTTAGGAAAGTTATGTGAGGGGACTCAGATTGATGAAGGTTAATACTAATACATCTTTCTTATAAACCATTCCGGACTATGAAATATTGGAATGCAATGCAAGCTCCTGTTCTCTTGCTTTTTCAAATTTGATTAGTATTCTTCCTATTTCTTTTATGGTGCTTTTCAAAAAAAATCTTCCCACGGGAAAATAAGATGGACATTTTGCTTTGTGTATGTGAAATATTCTACAATTATTCGTTTAAGCAATGTTTTTCATGATTTGCTTTTTATAACTCCCTCAAGGAATCTCAAGTTCAACTTCTCTACCAACTTTTCATTTGCAGGCTTGTATTATTGGGTGTCTACTATTTAGATATTGAAGATGAATGATGTGGAAAACCTTTGAATAACCACTACTTGTGCAATATGGCAACCAATGTGTAAGTTGCTCTGTCCTTTTTGAATATAATTTGTTTGAAGAAATGCTCGAACCAACATTCTCTTCACATTTCATTTTTTTTTTTTATGTATACAAGTTTGAATGCCTAGGCGAATTCTTTCCTTAGATTTCTAGGTTACCTGTGTTGTATGTATGACTTGGTTTTTGGTCCTACAGCCCAAAGTATGGTCTCCGCGTTGCTTCCCTTGTTGATTAAACAAATTCTCCATAATTGATGTCCATGTCTTGGGGTTGTTTGACATTCAAGGCAGATTAATTAGTCAAGTGGCTGATTAAAGTTCTAGATCTCTTTTCACTGTCAATAATTTTCAAATTGATGACTATCACTTGAACACGATTTGTGGGTAACTGTTTTGGCAGCAATATTCAAGATTGTTTCTTTAATCTTTTTATTTGCTTCCCTCTCTGTGTGTTTGATCAGTAATCATGGCTTGCTTGATATCGGCTCCCCTAACCTTGGATCTCTACTGATTTTGTGCTTGGCTTGATGGATTCCTTCACTGACTATATATATTAAAACCAAAGGTTAATGTTTCTTTGTTTCATCTGTGAAGCTAAGTTAAATACTTATGCTTTATTTGTTTTGAGTTTAGCTTGCTAAAAGCTTGCCACCATGTGAATGATGAGAATTCCGAGTGTGGAATGGTTTTTAGAGATTCTAACCTTTACTGGCTTCTCGTGTTTAAATCTGTATTGTTCAAGATATGAGGTTGCATTAACTCCCCAAATCCCACGATACCGTGGTGTTAATAGATGGTCATTGCAAGAAAGTTAAAGGGATTGTGTCATTTTAATAGGAAACTAATTGGTCAAAATGATAAGCTTTTTACTTCCTGTTGTGAATTGAAGTAAGTGATTGAGTTAGAGAAAATGTGTCTGCGATTTTCATCCAATAAACATGTGAAGTTTGTAAATATTTTATTTTCTCCTCTCTTTTTTTCAGTTCTTCTCTCACGATGTTTCTATTAAAAAATTCATGCTCGGTCAATTTTATTTTGAACTTCATCGATCTTATCTTTTACATTGTTTTTTCTCCAAAAGAAAAATTTGATAATGTGTTTCTTGTCTTTTCCCCTCAGTATTAACGGTATGGGATTTATTGATAATGTTCAATAAAATTAGCACTTTATTAAGAATTCAATCCTTTCTCGCCCATTGTGGTATAGTGGAGTCAAGTATTCTCTGAACAACTTTTTTGAGATTAGATTGTGGAGGGGTTGCTTTATGGATGCATGTGTCATGTTTAATTCTTGTTAAATTTTGCAAATCTATCCAAATAAGCTCTCTCTTTTTTTCAATGATTCAAATTAATAAAGAGAAAGAAGCAAAACTTTATTAAATCAGCTCAAAAAAAGAAAAAAAATATATATTTCTTTAAACGTTTTCAAATTCATGCTATGGCCAATGATATTAATTGAGTAGCTTTGTGTTAGCTAAAGTGTGGTTAAGTCATAAGGGTTTTTAAGTAGCTTTGTGTGAACTTCAGTGTGGGTTCAGTACCTTTTCTAAGTTAAAATCGGACAACTCACAATTGTTTTACAAAGAACAATGTGATTTTAAAATTTTCATGCATCAGGGAATATGAAGAAATGAGTTATTTTGTCAAGTTAAAATTAAATTTTAATAATATATTTTTATTTCTAAAAGAGGGTAAATAAGAGAAATTTTCTATAATAATAGCTATATCTTTATGTTTTCTCTTTCAGAAGATATTGGTCGTATATCTTCATCGTCAAGTTCTATTCTTCAAAAGTATATTGGTTAGACAAATGAATTAGACGAAATTAAGGGTCTACTGTTAAATAGATAAGACCATTTGAATAAATTATGCGTCTCGTGTTTGTTTCATTTGGGTTAACTAAGGATTAATTGTAAGATTATATACGACTAGGGGTGTAAATAGACTGGGCTAGGTTTTAGCTTAAATAGGTCAAGCCTGTATAAAAAAACATTGAGTATAGCCTGGCCTATTAGCCTGTGTAGGCTTCAAATTACAAGTCTGGCTTGACCTATATTTAAAAAAAAAAGCTTTGACTTAGGTCCGTTAGCCTGTTTAAGCCTATTAAACATTCAAATATTAAAAGAATAACTAAAATAATATTATTTCATTATTCAAAATTATTAAATACTAATTTTATTGATTATATTTTAAATAAATAATATGATATAGGTTAGCTCGTAGGCTTATAGGTTCAACATGTACAAAAAAAGTCTATGGCTAAGTCTATTCTATTTTACTACTTATAATAGGCTAAGTCTGATCTAATATAGGCTAGGCCGTAGGCCCATGTAGACCGGCCTAGACTATTTACACCCCTATATACGACTTTGATACAAGTGTAATGAGATTATTCCTCTTAGTTCTTGGGTTTGAGTCATGGGAAAATATTATTCCCTTAATTAGAGATTTTAAGTTATGCGAACTGTAAAAACAGTTGAAGAAAAAAAAAATGGTTATATACCATCTTCAGTTACTCTTTATAAGTTTTTGCTTGGTTATTTATGTGATAAATTTTTAAGGGTGCTGTAGGACTTAGTTTTTGCTCTCTATTATGCATAAACCAATTATTTAATCATATATGTTTTTTGCAACAACTAAAAATTCTATACATTTTTTGTAATTCGAATAAAATTAGTAGCAAATTTGTTTTCATAGTGCTGTATTCTCATGGTAATGATACTATTTTTCTTTTATCTATTAGTTGTTGTTCCGTTGTAATCATATTACGTAAAACCACATGAATGGAATTCAACTTTTCAATCAGGCAGGTCCTAGAGAAGCATGGCTCTTGGTATTGAGCTTTGAATGATATTCGCACTCAAGTGATAGAACATTGTGTTGGTTGTATAGAGGGACAGAATAAACCTCATGTTCTGTTCTGGAAACAGTATAGTTTTTAAAGCATCATGGGGCTTTTGCTACAGTAGAGTCCGAAACGTGTTATGTGAACTCAGTTGGGCTGGGATAAATGAGCCTCTACTCATTGAAGTAAGACATTTTGGTCGGTTTTTCATGCCCCGTTGCCAAACCGAGATAGATATGGAGGCCCATATAAGAACACTCAGACTCAAACTAGATTGTAAGTCCATGGTCACAATACTATCGAGATCAAGAGCAGGCCTGAGCAATTGAATGTAATGTAAATTAAATTAAATTAAACTACATAATAGAATCCATTAGAGACACAAAAAAGAGTTCTAAATAAATTAGACATTAGGGATGTGTTTGAAAGTGTTTTAGTTTTTTTGTTTTCCAAAACAGTTTTAAATATGAATTTTAAAAATTGATTTTGAGAGTAAAAAAACAAAAAAACTTGTTTGAGTGTAGTTAAATTAAAGTTACAAAGAAGTTGTAATTATTTACAAAAATGTCATTAATGAACTTTTAGAATTACAAAAATGCCATCATAAAGTAATTGTTTTGGTCCTAATTTTACGAAATTGCCATTAATGAATTCTGGTATTTACGATTTTGCCACGGCCTAAATGCAAAAACAGAAAACAGCACTGGAGAACATCATAAGGATGTTTTGGTTTTCTGGTTTTTAAAACTTAAAAAGAGTCATTGTTTTGGGAAGTATTTTTTAGAACACCCATTACCAAACAAGTTTTTTTATTTTTTTGTTTTTAAAAACAAAAAATTGTTTTACAAAATAGTTATCAATCCAGGGGTCGTGGACCGACCATATAACCCTGTTCAAAAACAAAAAGCGGAACGCATCAGCTATCCGCTCTCAGATTGGACAATAAGGGTGGGAGAAGGGCAATCGCTCATTCTTAAGGCCCTCGATTTTTAGGTGCACCATTTAAATGCTTTCAACTGGAAAAAATAAATAAATTTCCATTCTAAGAAATTTTTTACACAAAATATTTTTCATGGTCAAGTGTTTTTTAATGTGGGAAAGCTTCTCTAAGGACAAAGGTAAAAATTTGTTTTAATTGAAAGACATATTGGGGCCTCAGAGTAAAAGAGATAGGTGCTTGAGTGATCATTGAAAATGACTAAAGGCAATGAGTATGTTGCCAGACCCGACATACTGTAGGCAGCTTCAAAACAGTATGCCTTTCTTTTCATGACTTTTTCCTCTATTCTGTCAACTCTCTTTCACAACTAAATGACACCATAAATTGATGATTGGGGTTCATTTGATAGAAATTACGAATGCCCCTTTTACTTATTCTTGCCTTTGTCTTAGTTGATCCTTCTGATGGGAGGTTTTTAACAGCTTCATGTGTTGACACTATAGAATTGGTCCGTGACGCTAAAGCAAAATGTTGGGTCATTTTCGTGTCTTCCCTGTGGGTCCAGCACCATCATTGTCTAATTTGGGCTATGCAATCTGCTACCAGTCCTATTCAGGATGCTGGACTACCCATTTATTATTCTTGTTAATTATTGTTTTAGGACTTCAAGGTAAATTCACCCAGATTGAAGCTTCCATTTGTATTTGGGAAGCAACAAATATAAAAAAATAAAAAAAATGTTGGTAGTTGAGACTTGAGAGATTCCTAGATTTCAAGTGTTCCAAGAAAAAAGTAGAATCCACAGAGTCCAGACAAATAAGAAGCTGCTAAGTATGATAAATATAAATTATGTCACGGGTGGCGTTTGGAGTTTCAATGTTTCGTGTTTGTCTTACTTTACATGGTTCCTTTTCACTTGTCTCGAGTAGCTCTATATTTGATACAAGATCCAAATAGTGTAGCTCTTTGTATTGACTAGTCCTTTTTTTGTTCCGCTTCTTTTGCCCTCCAAAGTAAAATTACACATGCAATACAATTATATGTTTCATGTGCCTGTTATTAATAAATTAAGAGTAAATATCATTTTTGGTCCCTAACAAAAAACACGGTCCCCACTTTAGTCCCTTACAAAAATAAATTAGTCAGTTAGTCCCTAACAAATTCAAAGTGGACCCATTTAGTTGAAATCGTAGTTCTTCACAAATTGAAAAAAGACCTATATTAGTCTCTCAAAAAGACTAAAATGGGTCGTTATCAAAAAAAAAAAAAGACTAAAATGGGTCCATTTTAAATTTGTTAGGGACTAACTGACTAATTTATTTTTGTAAAGGACTAAAATGAAGATCGTATTTTTTGTCAGGATCTAAAATAGTATTTACTCATAAATTAACTAGGGGAAGGAATGAATTAACAAAAGTAGAACATGAAACTGTCAAACACGGACTCTGATCGATCACGAGTGAAAAATAATAGTAATGCAATAAATACACGCACGCTCATCATAGAAGCAAACTTGAGACCAACCCTTTCAAACACTTAAACTGAGTAAGTTGGCCACTCATTCACCCCATGCATTCATTGGTGAAATTGAGAAGAAAGCAAAGAAAGAAACGACAATCTGAACCTCACGCT